CTGCTTCATCTCAGTGCAGAAGAGAGCAATTCAGACTCACTGGACAGTATTGGATGCCATGTGAGGACTTGGTCCTCAATGAACAGCCTTATGAAGGTCTGACTGGCCTCAAGAAAACAGAAATTGCTGCCAAGCATGACAAGGCCCAGGTAAAGATATGGAGGCATTCCTGTCATGTCCCAGCACCCTCAATGGAGTCTGACTACCCATCTACAGCAACACCAGGAAGTCCCGCAGCATGCCCTCACTGAAGATCAGCTACCCTGCGCTGTCTGAAGGACACTATAACCAAGAGCCCTGCCTTTTTGTGATGAAGAAATAGCCGCTCAGGTCAAGGAAGGAAAACAGGTACTGATTGCAGCCCATGGTAACAGCCCTCTGGGCATTGCCTAGTATCTGGAGGGTTTCTCTGAAAAGACTATCATGGAGCTGAACCTGCCAACTGGTATTTTCATTGTATGAATTGGGTGAGAACTTAAAGCCCATCAAGCCTGTGCAATTCCTGGGGGAGTGAAGGAACTGTGTAAAGCCATAGAATCTGTTGCTGCCCAGGGGAAGGCTGAGAAGTGAGTTGGAGCAGATAGAACAGGTTCCCAAGGAAACACACCTTTTCCTTGCACATGTCACTCTGAGTGTTTTGTAGGCATCTTAAGTTTTAGCTGCAGATGGAAACCAGTGGTCCCTAGTTTCATTTTAACTATTTTGTCTATTGCACTTTCTCCCTCCATACAGACTAGTCAGCATGGGCTCTCTGGAGCATGGGGTCTCAAGCCAAGCTGAACAATGACTCTTATCCAAGAGCACTTAGAGGAAGTAACTGGAATTTTTGCTAGTGTTTTGTTTACCGAGGGCTGGCTTGGGTAGGGAGGAACCATGCCAAGGTGTGACCAGTGAGCAATAAGAGAGACTATCTGTACTCCAGAAGCCAGTCCTGCACTATAATGTGGTCAGGAGACTGGCTGGGGGATCTAGACATTCAACTGGAAGATAAATGCAACCTGCATGGTGATTCAAACATTTGCTCTCAGAGTAGCTGACTCTAGATTGGGATCCATCTTGAATGTTGTGTTACATTTACTTTTACAAAAAAAAGTATATATACAAAATAAAAACCTTTTTGGGGTTTTCTAGTGGCGGGTGAAACATTTCCACATGTGGTCACGAGAAAATAAGCCATTCCTCATACTAATGAGGGGTAATTTCCTTAATCTGCAAGGAGTTTATCCTGCTGTTTTAGAATCGCTACTCCCTTTCCTGTTTTGTGGCAGTGAAATTCCTCTTGAGCACATTCCAGTGTGTCATTGTGTCTGATTCTAAATCATGTGCCATTTGCTTGGTACTCTATTTGAGCATAACTTTACTAAACTTCTGTTTCCAAATCAGTATACCAAAAGAGTGATGTGAAAAAAAATAAACATATTTAAAATTTACGTCCCTAGCACATGCACAGTTCTGTTTAGATGGTTACCATAGCTATTTCTATTTCATTGTTATTTGGAGATATCCATACCATGTATATAGGGTACATACCATTTTGTATGTAATACAAATTTCTCCAGAATGAGAAATTTCTTTTTTTTTTTAAATAGTGTTTTAATTCTTAGGCATCTTATTTTTATTTATTTATTTAGTTAGTTATTTTTATTTATACAAGCACTGGGTACAGTTAGAAGCGCGGGAGGGTGAGAGAATTCACCAGAGCCAGAGCAGAGAGCAGAGCAGGCAGAAGGACCGAAGTACACTGCTGAGGGGAGCAGCGGGCAGCAGGAGAGTTCTGCACGCCATGTGGGACCCTCCTCCGGGGGCCGGGGAGCAGCCGGGGATCGAAACAGCGCTGCAGAGGCTGCGGGCAGCTTTGCAACCCAGGGCTCAACCGCTGCGCCACTGGGGAGGCCCGAGAAATTTCTTATGAACAAGTAGACCAGAATATCTCATTGAATGAATTCAGTCTAATTTTTCAATTTTAAAGTGATCAATAGCATTTCACCCTTGGGATGTATTATTATAAACATGACAAGGAAAAATCATTAAGCTGCAAACTGTCTCGAAATCATATTTCTCTGAAGTTCATGCTGCCAATGACCCTGGCTCTGCTAGCTCTGTGGACTTCCGTAAGCAGAAGTTCGTATGAAAATAGTGGCAATTGTGAGATCCTTTTTTGTTGGTATAGATGCAGGTCACCATACCTTACAATTATGTATTTCATACCTTATGGTTACACATTAAGAAACACTTGTCTATGTATAAATTTATGCAGGAAAAAAAACACTGTAACACATAACAAGATTAACTTTTTGGTATGTAGAATAATATGTAGATTACTTTTTCAAAGGTCAGCATAGGCTTTTTTGTGAATACAATGTAAGAGTATTGGCTCAGAGAGCCTGCTCGTTTAAACTTCTCAATGCATATTGAACTGGCAAACTTTATCCCAAATATCTATCCCCTTGAATGATCTCAGCAATGGGAAATGTGCCATTTCCCAGCACCTTCTCCATTTAATATCATCAGACTTTATTGTTGTTCTTTGTCAGTGTGACAAGTGAAAAGTTACAGTCATTTCATTTCAGTTTCCTGATTATCAGGTAGGTGAAACACCTTTTCACATGTCTAAGTTTTCCCTCCTCAAACTGAAGCTTTATATCTTTAGGCTGTTTCTGTATCAATAGCCATCTTTTTCCTTAATATGCATGATTCTTGATACTATTTATTATATTACAACTATCTTCTCCTCGGCTACCAGTTGTTTTTAACTTTGTATGTTTTTTTTTTTAAATAAATCTTTTTTTTTAAACATTTTTTTAAAGATTTATTTATTTATTTACATAAGCACTGGGTACAGTCAGAAGCACGGGAGGGTGAGAGAATTCACCAGAGTCAGAGCTGGGAACAGAACAGGCAGACTGACGAAATACACTGCTGAGGGGAGCAGTGGGCGCAGCAGGAGAGGTTTGTCGCACCATGTGGGACCCTCGATAGCGGCTAGAGATGGAACTGGCACTGCAGAGGCTGTGAGCAGCTTTACAGCCCAGAGCTCAACTGCTGCGCCACCAGGGGAGGCCCCTTTGTATGTATTTTTATTTTGATGTAATCACATCTGCCTTTCCTGTTTATTTTTTGTTTTGTGTCTTTCAGTCCTGTTTAAGGTCATAAATATATTCCCCTTTATCACTTTATAATATCTTCATAGATTGTTTTAATTCTGATATCCATCTGCAATATGTTTGGGGGTGTACTTTTATATGTTTTCCCCCAAAGACTAGCTAATTATCGAACATCAGTAATTCTTTCCCCATTGATTTGAAACAACATGTTTTCTTCTTATTTTAGAAAGCATATATTAAAATGATCATATGACTTTATCCTTTTGATGTGTTACTGGGTCTGTTTCCCTGTTGCTGGAGCCCAGAGTACATGGAAACCATTAAACAGGTGTTCCTTCCACAGTGGTGCCAGACCTATATAGTATATTTTGGGAAAGTACTTGGAAATTAAAAGAACAGTTGGATTTCTCCTGACACAGACACAGACTTTTAAAGTGGGGAACAATAAGGAGGAATAGAAACAGAGGAAGGGGGTTCTCAGATCAGTTATGCCAGAGAGCCTAGTCAATGGCCTTTGCAGACCACACCTGTAGAAGCACTGGTCACAAAGTCATCATTGCACTAATGCTCTAGAATCTTTGATATGTAGCCTGCGAGAATGGAATTAGAGTCCCAGCTCTTTCCTAGTTCCCTTGCATTTGACATGCAGAAACCCAGTCTTGTTTGAAGAAGGATGTGAAAAGTGAATGGATCTTTTTCTGAGCATCCACTGCATTGATCAAAGCAACGTAAACCATGAATTAAGGTGTTATCTCTCTGCTTTGTTTCCAACAAAACCTCCTCCTGGTTGTTTAGACTTTGGATTATACACTGTAAACTCACCAAGTCAAGATGTTAGTAAGAGATTTTGAATTGAAGAATTCAATTTGAATCTTTGAGATATAAAGGGTTAATAATAACCCATTGGTTAGAATGAGAATTTTCCCTTTGAAGTGAAAATCTCTTCTTTTTAGGGAGGATGAAAATATTCCAATTATGTATTATAAAATACTGCAGCTTCTCCTACCAAGTCACATTAGAATAAGGAACAAAGTTGAATACTGAGTTGTACCCAAGTTGAAATCTGCCTCGGTGTTGTGTGAGCCTCCCTGTCAAAGCTAAAGTAGGAAAGAAGAACCTTGCTTTCTCCAGTGGCTTCTCCCAGTCCCTAATGCCAATTTAATAGATTTTTTCAATGTTGAATCATTCTTGAATTTTTTGATTAAGCCTGATTTTTCCCTGATCCATTTTTGTTTTAAGCACATGCAGATTTGCCAATATTTCACTAAGGATTTTTGGCCCCCCAAGTCCACATATATATATGGCAATTATTAAAACTAGCTGGATTTCCTAATCCCAAACTTGACATGATTTAGACAAATGAGCAGTCATTTAATCAATGCACTCTGGTTAGGCCCTAAGATCTATTAAAACATTTCCCCCAAAAATGAAAATGCAAAGTTATAAAGTTGAGAGAAGTAAATATTAATATTTAAATATTAACACCATTTAGCATGTAGCTTTGTTAACAGGTGACCACATTTTCCCCCATTCAAACAGTTGTTGGTCATCTAAGTTATTGCCCAAACAAAATGCTCTATGTGAAATTTTAGACTTTAATAGCCCTGAGATTTCTGATTCAAAACTTATCAGGATAAGACAAAACTTCTAAGAAATTAAATCATTTAAATACATAAATTTACATTTAAATATGTATATAAAGTATACACATATAAATACATACATGTATAGTATGTATCAATTTCATGAGAAAAATTGATCACTGCAGGATAAATACTAGTTTCAAATTTTAAGCCAAACAGGATAAATTCTTAACTGATCGCTGTACTTTTTGTCTACAAGCATACAACCGCCTATTACACAGGCTGATAGACTTGGAAATACAACCCTATCTACTGATTCTCATGACAAAAGACAAATCAGCATTTTTCCCCATATGGGTTTTTATTTTCAGCCCTTTACATTGACCACTAGCTTCCAGGCATATCATGAGCAGTTTGCCACTGTTCCTTTGGATGTGATTTGGTGCATTTATCTTTTATTACTCATCACATTGCTTCCAATTATCAGTTTTAATACAATGGAAAAGACAAAGAGGGCTTGTGGGGTCAAACTCACTACCTGCCAGACTGGTTTTTCTGTACACAAGTAAGATATTCTTGCACATCATCTGGGGACCCCAGAATGAGTGGGACTCTTTGGTGAATGGCCTCAGGCTTTACGTCCAGCACAGGTTGTGTGCCTGTGGTTGCCAAGCCTCCCGCCTGCTCAATGATGTAGGCCACAGGATTGCACTCATATAGGAGCCGGAGCTGTGGAGAAACAAAGCCAGGTGGACAAAATTTGCAAATTGTCAAAAATTGCAAATCAAGCACCTAAAGTTCAATGAGGAATTCCAACTACTGACTATCCGTGTGTCTTCTTAGTGTAGGACACTGGCGCACTTCAGCTGAGTGGGCTGCCTGAGATCAAGACCCTCTAGAAGGTTGAATGAATCAGCAGGTGTTCATCACATATGCCTCTGGGGCACCTAGATCAGTCTATCTCTCTTACGAGAACCTGCCTCTTCACTTGGAAATCAAGAGATGTAGGGACTCATTTCTTGCTGGTTCCCCAATGAGATGAACTGATTCTGCAAGCCTGAAGAAGGGCCTCCAATATGTGAGGCCTAATGGCTGATAAGGAGTCAAGGTTGGATGGGATTGGAAGACACCTCAAGATTGCTAGGTGGTCTCTCTGGATTATTGTTGACTTGGGTACATGATTTGCTGGTGTTTAAATGGCCCTTTCTTTTGGCCCCTTAGAAGACGTTAACTCCCATTGCCTGCACCCCCACAGCATCCTCGCAGTTGTTTCCTCTTCCTAATAGCCATGGCACAGAAGTTTGCTTAACATCTGCCTTCCTCCCTAGATGTTCTCGCACTGTGTGTCTTGGCTCATCATGTGGCAGCTCCATTCCCAGTACTGACCAGTAAGTACATGGGGAATTGAAATGAAACAGACTAAACTCATTGTCTTTTTTCAGGTGTACTTCTGTGATGATGTAACTTTCTTCTCCCACCAAACACATACACACACATTAGATTCAGCGTGGTGTTCTAGCTGCATGTTGAATCAATATCATACTATCTTCTTCCTTTCCTCATAGATGCAAAATCCTTAATTAAAAAAAAACATTCCTTTTCTAGGATCAGCTTGCAAAGCATTTACCTAGCTCTGTGTAGCTTTTAACCTTTCTGTTCTCTCTGGAAAATGTATTTTGAAACTATTTTGAAACACTTTGATAAAGAGTCAGATCCTGTGCTGATTTTTAAATTATTGCTATCACAAGGACAGAACAAAATTATCTCTGATCTAGATTGGCAAGCCAATTCTGTGGCAGATTCTCAGGTGGACTTGGGAGCATCTGCGAATCCCCTGAAATTATCTGTAACGTGTATACAGATTACATGTGTAGGTATACATGTTAGTTTTTCTAGGAAATGAGTCCATAAATTTCAATAAATTCTCAAGGTAATCTACGATCAAAAATCATTTATGTTGAAGCTAAAAGACACAGCATATGGAAAGCAGGAAATAAACATAGCTAACTCCTGGTGAATGACAGCTATGAGATCAGTGAAGGACAGAGAAAATCACCAGTAGCAACTATTTCAGTTATTTCTTCTCCAAACCTTCTACTGCAACTTCAAAATTCACTAATGGAAGAAGTACGTTATTTCTCTTCTCCCTGACCACTCACAGACACAAGGACAAGGCAGTAGCCAAAAAGCAGACATGAAGAAAAAGGAAATTCCAACTGGTTCACTGACTTGAGGTACCAGTGGACAAAGGAGAATTACCTTGCCCTTAGGACTTTTCTGGTTCGCTGGGTACAGGAAGATTCCTCCATAGACCAGGGTGCGGTGCACATCAGCCACCATGGAGCCCACGTACCTAGCCCCATAGGGAGCACTACCATCCTAGAGGGCAGAGAGGAGAGGGGTAAGATGCAGTGGTTTTAGCCAGCACCAGCTCCAGCCAGCCAGCACCAACTTTGTTCGCATCTTTTGCCCTCCACCCACCAGTTTAGGGAATGAAAACATTGTGTCATTGAACACTTAAATTCATTAAGAGGCCCCAAAACTCAACCAGTGGTTAAACTCAATAAATATAGGACTACTTAAAGTCAAGGATAATATCCTATAGCAATCTTAAGAAAACATCTGAGGAGAAAAAAAGAATAAAGAAACCACAAACCAAAAAAAAAAAAGAAACATATAGAATATGGGACCTCAAACTGTGCCATTTTGGTAGATTGACTATTTTGAATTAAAGCTAATTGAGAAACATGTAGTGCAAGAAGGACCCTCCTTATTCCCCCTGAAAACAGTAAATAAATCTCCCACGTGAAAGGTACCCTCCATCCATGTACCAGGGGAAAAGAGATATCCTTTTACAACAGAGATGGAATTTAGGGCTGAGATGCATAGATAAACAAGCCTTGTCACCTTCTCACTAATTTACTACCACCAGCTAAAGTTGTTTGTCTTCATCAATCTTTACAGGTTTTTTTTTTTTTTTTTTTTTTAATAAATTTTATTGTTATATTCCCCATACAATTGCAGCCCCCCCATTCTGACCCCAATCCCTCCCCTCCCCCCCCCCCCCTAAAAGTGTCTCTGGTTCATAGTTTTTTGTTGATTTTGATTTTCACTTTCTTATAGTTATTCATTTTCCTGGTCCCTTATTTAAGTTTTCTAGATTCCTGCTATGAGTGAGACCATCCGGTATTTTTCTTTTTCTTTTTGGCTTATTTCGCTGAGCATGATCCCTTCCAGCGCCATCCATGTTGCTGCAAATTGCATGTGTTTATCTTTTTTGAATGCTGAGTAATATTCCATGGTATATATGTACCACATCTTCTTGATCCAGTCATCTATTTTTGGGCATTTGGGTTGTTTCCAAAGCTTAGCTATTGTAAACAGTGCTGCTATAAACATAGGGGTGCAGGTGTTCTTTGGAATTGATGTTTCTGTGTCCTTTGGGTAAATACCTAGGAGTGGAATTGCTGGGTCATATGGAAGCTCTATGTTTAGTAGGTCCAGAAATCTCCATACAGCTTTCCACAGTGGTTGGAACAGTTTGCACTCCCACCAACAGTGCACAAGAGTTCCTTTTTCTCCACATCCTCGCCAACATTTGTTGTTGCTAGTTTTTTTAATATGTGCCATTCTCACTGGTGTAAGATGGTATCTCATGGTAGTTTTGATTTGCATTTCCCTGATGACAAGTGATGTTGAACATTTTTTCATATGCCTTTTGGCCATTTGCATTTCCTCTTCAGAGAAGTTTCTTTTAAGCTCTTCTGCCCATTTTTTGACTGGATTATTTTCTTTGTTGTTGTTGAGTCTCATCAGCTCTTTGCAGATTTTTGTGATCAGTCCTTTATCATTAGTGTTGGGTGCAAAAATGTTCTCCCAGTTGGTGGGGTTTCTCTTTGTTTTTGTTATTGTCTCTTTTGCTGTGCAAAAGCTCTTTAATTTGATGTAGTCCCAGCTGTTTATCTTTGCCTTCACTATCACTGCTTTGGGTGATGTGTCTGTAAAGATGTCTTTGATGTGCAAATCACGTAGTGTTTCGCCTATATTTCCTTCTATGTATTTTATGGTTTCAGGTCTTATGTCTAGTTCTTTAATCCATTTTGAGTTGATTTTTGTGTATGGTGTGAGGTGGTGGTCAAGCTTCATTCTTTTGCATGTAGCGACCCAGTTTTCCCAGCACCATTTATTGAATAAACTTTCTTTGCTCCAATGCATATTCTTTGCTCCTTTGTCAAAGATTAGTTGACCATAAATCTGTGGGTTTATTTCTGGATTTTCTATTTGATTCCATTGGTCTGTATGTCTGTTCTTGTTCCAATACCATGCAGTTTTGATGATTATGGCTTTGTAGTATAGTTTGAAGTCTGGGAGTCTGATGCCTCCATTCCCTTCTTTTTTTTTCAGGAGAGCTTTGGCTATTCGGGGTTTTTGGTGATTCCATATGAATTTCATCAATAATTGTTCTATTTCTTTGAAGAATGACATTGAAATTTTGATTGGAATAGCATTGAATCTGTATATTGCTTTTGGTAGTATGGCCATTTTAATAATGTTTATTCTTCCAATCCATGAGCAGGGGATGTCTCTCCATTTCTTTGTGTCTTCTTCTATTTCTTTTAACAGTGTTTTATAGTTTTCTTTGTATAGGTCCTTTACCTCTTTTGTTAGATTTATTCCCAAATATTTGATTTTTTTTGTTTCAATAACAAAAGGGATGGTCTTTTTGATTTCTTCTTCTTCAGATTTATTGTTTGTGTATAGGAAGGCTACTGACTTTTGCGTGTTGATTTTGTATCCTGCCACTTTACTGAACTGATTGATGAGTTGAATTAGCTTTTCTGTGGAATTTTTGGGGTTCTCTATGTATAATATCATATCGTCTGCAAATAGTGATAGTTTGACTTCTTCTTTTCCTATTTGGATTCCTTGGATGTCTTTCTCTTGTCTTATTGCCCTGGCTAGGACTTCCAGTATTATATTGAAAAGCAGTGGTGAGAGTGGACATCCTTGTCTTGTTCCAGATCTTAATGGAATTGCTTTCAGCTTTTCACCATTGAGAATGATACTGGCTGTTGGCTTGTCATAGATGGCCTTTATGATGTTGAGGTATGTTCCTTGTATCCCCAGAATTTCAAGGGCTTTTATCATGAATGGGTGTTGCACTTTGTCGAAAGCTTTCTCAGCATCTATTGATATTATCATATGGTTTTTATATTTCTTTTTGTTGATGTGTTGGATAACGTTGATTGATTTTCGGATGTTAAACCATCCTTGTGCCCCTGGAATGAATCCAACTTGGTCGTGGTGAATTATCTTATGGATACATTGTTGGATTCTGATAGCTAAAATTTTATTGAGGATTTTTGCATCAGTGTTCATTAGGGAGATTGGCCTGTAGTTTTCCTTTTTTGTGTTGTCCTTGTTCGGTTTTGGTATTAGTGTAATGTTGGCTTCATAAAACGTGTTTGGTATTGTCCCTTCCTTCTCAATTTTTTGGAAGAGTTTGTGAAGGATAGGCACTAATTCGTCTCTGAATGTTTGGTAGAATTCATTTGTAAATCCATCAGGTCCTGGGCTTTTGTTTTTGGGGAGGTTTTTTATTACCATTTCAATTTCGCTAATTGTAATTGGTCTGTTTAGGTGTTCTATTTCTTCTTTATCTAGCTTTGGGTGATTGTAGAGTTGTAGGAATTTGTCCATCTCCTCTAGATTGTTAAACTTGTTTCCATATAACTGTTCATAGTAGTTACTGATTATTCTTTTGATTTCTGCTGTGTCCGTTGTGATTTCTCCTCTTTCATTGATGATCCTGTTTATTTGTGCTTTCTCCCTTTTTTCCTTTGTGAGCCTGGCTAGGGGTTTGTCTATTTTATTGATTTTTTCAAAAAACCAGCTCTTGGTTTCATTGATCTTTTGGATTGTTTTTTTAGTTTCAATTTCATTTATTTCTGCTTTGGTTTTTATTATTTCTTTTCTTCTACTGGTTTTGGGGTTTTTTTGTTGTTCTTTTTCTAGATCTTTGAGCTTCGAGATGAGGTTGTTTCTTTGCGTTCTTTCTTGTTTCTTGATGTGAGCTTCTATTGCTATATATTTTCCTCTTATTACTGCTTTTGCTGCATCCCATACATTTAGGATATTAGTGTCCTCCTTGTCGTTCAATTCAAAAAATTTTTTAATTTCTTCTTTGATCTCCTCATTAGTCCAATGGTCTTCCAGTAGTGTGGTTTTTAATCTCCATGAGGTAGGAAAGTTCCTTGCCTTCTTTTTATGGTTTATTTCTAGTTTGATGCCTTCATGGTCAGAAAAGATGGTTGGCATGATTTCAATCTTGGTGTATCTGTTGATGTTTGTCTTGTGCCCCAGTATGTGATCGATCCTGGAGAATGATCCGTGTGCGCTTGAGAAAAATGTGTACTCCGTTTTTTTGGGGTTTAGTGTTCTATAGATGTCTGTTAAGCCCAATTGCTCTAGGTCCTTATTTAGAGCTTTGGTTTCTTTTTTTTTTTTTTTTTTTTTTTTTTTATAGAGGCATGCTTTATTTATTTGTTTGCTGGTTTGTTTGTTTGTTTTGTTTATACATGCACTGGGTACAGTCAGAAGCGTGGGAGGGCGAGAGAATTCACCAGAGCCAGAGCGGGGAGCAGAGCAGGCAGAAGGACCGAAGCACACTGCTGAGGGGAGCAGTGGGCGGCAGGAGAGGTCTGCGCGCCATGTGGGACCCTCCTCTGGTGGCCGGGGAGCAGCCGGGGATCGAACCGGTGCCGCAGAGGCCGCGCGCAGCTTCGCAACCCAGCGCTCAACCGCTGCGCCACCGGGGAGGCCCTAGAGCTTTGGTTTCTTTACTTATTTTTTGTCTTGTTGATCTATCCATTGTTGATAGTGGTGTGTTGAAGTCTCCCACTACGTATGTGTTTTCTCTGATGTCTGTTTTCAGAGAGGACAACAGTTGTCTGATATATTTTGGTGCTCCTTCGTTTGGTGAGTATATGTTAATGAGTGTTATTTCTTCTTGAAGTATTGTCCCCTTGATCATAATGTAGTGACCATTGGGGTCTCTTTTTATCTTTTTGAGTTTGAAATCTGTTTTATCTGATATAAGTATAGCTGTTCCTGCTTTCTTTTTTGGTCCATTTGCTTGTAGGATTGTTTTCCATCCTTTAACTTTGAGCCTATTTTTATCTTTGGTAGCTAAATGTGTTTCCTGGAGACAGCAAAAGGTTGGGTTTTGTTTCTTAATCCAGGCTGCCACTCTGTGTCTTTTTATTGAAGAGTTTAGTCCGTTTACATTTAGAGTTAATATTGATATGTTAACATCTGTATTTGCCATTGTGTTTGTCTTTCCTTTGATTTTATTTATTTATTCTTTTAATAACTTTTTT